TGAACCTTAGAATGTTCTACTGTCTCTGTTACATTTTAGAAATTAATAAATCAGGAATTCAAAATTGTTTTTCCTTTATCATGCCTCCCAAAAGGAAACCAAAATCCTAGATAACGCACCTTCTGAAGCAGCAGGCACTAAAAACCCATATCTCCTTTATATGCATTGTTTTTATCTTGGCCAGCTTATGTCTGCACATAAACTAGCATCCAGTAGATAAAAAGAACTGCTATATAAAAAAAATATATCAAAGTAAAATCTGAGCTCTAAAATACATTTTTATGGGAAATTATACATTTCATTCTTGTTGAGTACATAGCTGTTATCTATGGGCATTTTCTAATACTCCCACACCTCTAGATTCAGGAACCAAACAGGTAAAGGAAAAACCTCTCAAGCCATCATGGCTTTGTCAAGCTGCTGCCTACCTTTGTGAAGCAGGAAAACAAAGTGAATCCAGTAGAACTTTTTATTGCCTACCTGGAATGGCTGACAATAGTTGAATAAACTCTTGGCTCTCAAAATGGTATCAGTACCTTATTTGTTGGTACTCGCCGATACCGATACCACCATTTTAGTGCTGGATCGGGGCCCCGTCCATTACTTGTATCGGTATTGGTGCAACACTAGTGTTTACCCTCAATTTGAGTAGGGAAATAAGATGATCTGCCAATGAAATTAGCATGTTTACCCTTAAAATAAGATATTATGCACTTGAAATAAGAGACTGCATTTGTTTTTTTCCCCCCTATTACTTAAATTTACATTTTTGGCAGTGCTGTCCTGGTTCGTAAGCCATATTGAAAATGGCAATGAAAAAAAATGCCTCTAATGATGACCTCCGACCATTAGGAAAAATCACACATACAGTGTTTTGCAATAGACACCAGATAGAGTTTGTCACAAAGACGAGTGTTCTCTTTACCTTTCTCTACAGATGATGAAATTTGTGTTTAAATTAGTGTTGCAGTGATACAGTATTGGGCGGGGCCCCGATCCAGCACTAAAATGGTGGTATCGGTTTTGACGAGTACCAACAAATAGGGCACCGATACCATTTTGAAAGGCAAATGTTTATTTAACTATTGTCACTCATTCTAGGTAGGCAATAAAAAGTTCTACTGGATTCTCTTTGTATTAGTCTTTTTTCCTGCTTCACAAAAGTAGGCAGCAGCTTGACAAAGCCATGAGGGCCATTATTTTACATCCAAGTAGTATGCAGTTCTTCATATATACACACATCGATTTCTAACAGATCGTATTGGTATCGGCCAATACTGTACAGCCAGGTATAGTAGCCAAAAAATGGCATCGGCTCAACACTAGTTTAAAGTCATCAATCATTACTGATGACATGAAATCACAAGTTCTAAACTTTAGCCATACAAAAGCAGGCTTTATTGGAAGGAATTTGGCTTGCTCAATTAAATGTGCATAAAACACTTCTAACTACTTTTTTCAACTGTAAAGCCCATATTGCATAGCTTTATAAAGTTTAAGCTCCATTAAATGCTGCAGAAAGAATCTCGTAACACACATGCATTACAGCTCCTCTGTTTGGCTGGTCTGGAGTTGAAAGCATTGCTAATAATAGTGACTCAAGAGAAGGATCCTCATGACTGGAAGCTCTACTCCTGTTACTGTGGTGACGGAGTCCTTTCCATTGCCATTCCTACGCCATCTTAGTCTCCACGGTTACATTTGGACAGGAACTGAGAGGAAGGAGGCCCGGGATGGACAGGGAGAATAAAAGCAAAGGAGGCACAGAAGGGGAAAGAGTTTGGCAAAAGACACCAAGTACCGACTCTGGTCTCAAGAGAAGTTTCTAAACTCCTGAGCAAATAATTCTTCTCCAAAAGTGTTCTGAGTATTATCTTTTAATAACAAATAATTCAGATAATTATTCTGCATAAAAGATTGGATATCCTAACATCTCATTGTTATGCAAACTGTGACAAGTCAGCATTTCCTGTTTGTGTTCTGGTTTTGACCTTAAACTCTAAAATGTTCAAGAGTTTTTTTTATTGCTCCAATGAATTTTACAGAATAATAAAAAAAAAAATGTTGCAAAAAAAAAAACTCAAAAAACAAAGCCTCTATTCCAAACCACTGTGAAATGAAATTACATGCATGTCAGAAATACTGTTTTTGGAAGATGGGAAACTCTTTCTTATGCAGTCCAGCTTTTGGTGATTTGAACTGATGCATTAGCAAACACAAAAAGGCAGTGTTAGGGAAGCTTTGGGAGAGGTCCACTCAACATTTGAGAAGGGAGGCAAAGGGGACAAAAGAGTCGGGAGGGTGATGGGAAGGAGGTGAGGGTCAAATTCTTCAGTCGGTGGCTGAGAAACGAGGGGGATTTTCTAGAAGGTTTGAACAAGAGAAGAAAAGGACCGGAGGGGTGGTGATAGTGGGAGGGAATGAACTTGAATGTTGACGGTTTTCTGGGGTTAGCTGCTGAGGCTTTGGGGCTCCAGCAGGGGACACTAGTCCATGCAGCTTCAGTTTATATATTTTACTGCTATTTTTTTCTCACCTGCTAACTGTTACTGTAACTTATGTATTCTTAAATTATCTCTAATTAACTAAATTTACAGGCTGCTTTTACAACATTACTGCTGAACTTTGAATCAAAATAAAAAAGGAAGCAAAAATCTTCAATCATAATTTCCTGATTTTTTTACACAAAAGAAACTATGATAATAAAAGTTCAAACATAAACTACAAAAGGGGGCAAAAAATCAACAATTTCAAACATTTTCCTTTTAGATATTAATAAAAAAAAAACCTGACTCATTAAAAACTATATTTGTAAAGTTGATATTTTGACCCACAGGAAGCAAGAAAGGAAACATTTCTCTGTAGAAACATAAATCTCTGTCATTGTTTTTATAATATAAGTTTTCTGGCTCAGATTTCAGGAAGTTTTGGTCGTCTCTTTTTAGACATATGAAGCATTTTATAGACTATTATGATACTGAGATAATGTAGACTTTCATAATCTTTCATTATTTGTTCAGTTTCTCATTTAAATTGTGGTTTAAGCTCTTCAGTACTGAGTTCGGCTGGTCACAAAGTATTTGTGGTTATCAATGTTACCATTGGTGATTAAAATAATACAATCCACTCTATTGCTGAACCTCTTGCTAATTAATTCTTGTGACGAATCACAACTGATGTATCCAATAATGTTTTGTTTTTTTGTATATGCTGAATAATTGCAGCTAATATTCCTATTAAAATGTGATACAGTTTTAACTCAAGGCCATTCTGACTCCCATTGCTTCCTTAAGTCAGAACAGCTCAAAAGCCAAAGCTTATTTTGCTTCTTTTTTTAAATTTATTTAATTTGAGATATTTAACCCCAATAAAAAGCTATTTCCTAGCTCTATATTGGGGCTATATCTGGCAACGCCTGAGCTTTGTCTCACATCTAACTACTATTCCTATTTTGACTTAGGTATCCTTTACAGAAGTAAATAAATTGCATATATATTTTAGACCTGTCAACATGTTAGAAAAAAAAAGCTGGAATGTCTCTTTTTAAAATGTACCAGCAAAACAAAAATACATCTTTTGTTGACAAGACAAATTTGGTACTAAAGTTTACATGATTTTGTTAAATCAACTCTTCTTAGTAACTTAGATTTTATTGAGTGAATTCTACAAAAACTTTCTATGGGGAAAAGTTACCTAACTAGCTTAATTAGCGTCTCTAAATTGTCCTCAGGTGTGAGTGCGTATGTGTGAAAGGTTGTTTGTCTCTGTGTTGCCCTGCGACAGACTGGTGACCTGTCCAAGGTGTCCCCCACCTTTCACCCGTAGACTGCTGGAGATAGGCAGCAGCCCCACTGTAACCCTGACAAGGACTAAGCAGGAGAAAATAGATAGATGGATGTAGAGCTTAAATGTTCTGTGATGTATTCAAAATTAATTTGATAAAACTTTTTATCCATCACATTTAAATTTGTTAACTGATTTAAAACTTGAACTAGGGGCGTCTGGTTCCAAGTTTTTCCATTTCTGATATAATACTGATTTTGCAGTTTTGGGTCTGGACTGATAATGAAGCTGACCTGATATGTCACCACACATCAAACATACTTTTAGGAATTATTTTGTAGTGGGGAAAATTAGAAAAGGCTTCATCAAATGATATTTCTCAGTGAACAATGAGAAATGACCCAGGTTTAGTTTATCAGTTGGTTACATAAACCTTAAACAGAAGCTGAGTTATTCTATCAGCTTGGTAATATCTACAGTATTAGATGTAGGCAGAAATATTCACAGATTAGGTTTTGTTGACAGATATCTGGATGATTTCTGTGACATCCTTATAACTTCAATATAAAAAAGTCTTAAGATGTCATTTTTCTGGTATATATATAAAAAAAAAAAAAATACATTTGAAAAGACAACACTTTTTGTATACCGTATATTTTATTCCCTCCAGATACTTATACAAACTTAATTTTAAATACTATTATCCACTTCCATGAAAACAAGCACTGTAACTGCAGCAATCAGCATCATTTTACAATCTTTGGAGTCATAATTGCACTTGAATACATTTTTAATAAAAAGAAAAAAATATAGAGGTGATGAGAAAAATACACCGAGATGCATTTTGATACTATGTCATAGAATATTGTAACATATATCATTTTATAACAATATTTTAGCTATAAAATTCAGCGTTATTCCTACTATACCAATAAACAATCATCACAATCTAACAAAAATAATTACATCAGTAGAGCAACTGTGCTGCTCAACAACAGTACACATAATCAATTTAAATGAAACATAAAGACAGCAGTTATCTTTGATCTCTTTAAACCAAAAGTGAAAAAAATACATTTTAAACTCCAGAAGTAACAATTCAGTCTTTTTCCTGAGTTTCCAAACATGTGTCATTTTTATTTCACTGTATTCTACAAGTCGCTAACATCAAGTAATTGGCATAAAACTGAAAAAAAAAAAAAAAAAAAACACTTTAACAAACAAATACCACCTTAAGAACCAATTATTTGTTAAATATTGGTTTTAGTGAAAGCAGATGCTCACATTTCCCTTCTGATTCCGGCAGTTATCAAATATCTTAAAGACTGTTTCCTGAGGATAAAGTTTGCTAAAAGGCAGCACTATCAGCACATTTGTTGTAGGACTTCTGGTCCAGGTAAAGCACAGCGCACACCTGGTTGACCTTACAGCTTCCATCACAGGTGATCCTGTTATCGTAGCTGACCATAAAGTGGCTGAAGTACTGGTCAAACGCTTTAGCCTGTGGCAGCAAGAAGCTCAGGCCCAGCTGAAGAAGACTTTTTGGCTGCAGGTCTTTCAGCCCAAAAGCCTCGGTCATGACGTATTCCAGCCTCCAGTCGGACTTTTGTTTCTCGTTGGCCTCCGTCAGATTCAAGTAGTACTGCCAGATATCCTTCAAAGGGACAGAAAAGCCCAAAAGAGACAAAGGAAGAAAGAAAAAGTCTTTGAGTCACTTTAAAAGCCAGAAACAGTTTTTGTGTTCTGATTGGCACCGTAATTAATCCTAAAAGCGCATATAGCTTCGGTCTGTAAGCAGAGAGATGAAAGGAATTAGCAGTTAAGCCTAATTCTATTAGACAATCCGCCAATGTTTTTTAAATTCTGTTATAGTTTGTGGATTATATAGTGAGAGAGAATAAATCAATGTCAATGAAACAATGAACCTTGTGGTAATCCATCATTCTTTTGATAAAATAACAAGCTTATGCTTAGTAAAATGCTCCCTATGCATCAAAAACAACCAGCAAATTCCACTAAGTTATAAACACAATAATCCAATTTTAGCTGTTTTTTATGTCCTACTATTCAATGCTGAACACTAAATGTTACCCATGAGCATTACATTTATTCAGAAGATTATTTTAACATAACAGAGTGTTTATAAAATGTGTTGTTTGGGTTTAAAAATAATTAGGTGAATATATGATGCAGTAGATTTAGAAAAGGAGTAAAACACCAAAAAACACTAAGATAATGGATTTAAGATATTTTTATTATGCTCCAAAACAACCAAAAGTAATTTAATACTGAATTTCAGCTGATATATCTTTATGTAGTTAATTAGTCATGAAAAGCCTCTGGGTAGAAAAATCCTGGCTGATAAATCAAACGCACCCTCTCACAGGAGAACATGCACATCCCTGTCAGAACCATTGTCTGATATCATTTTACTCCAAACTACATGAGATAAAGATTTTGCATCAAAAGTTCCAGAAGTTACCAGTAGGTCAAGTCTTGAGACTTTCTTGTTTTAGCTGTTGCATGAGTCTACTTTCTAACTTTACCAAATCCCTCATTTATTAGCACTTTTGGAATTTCTTTGCAGAGCTTGTGGTCCCTGTTTGAGTAGAGAGATCAGACTTAAACCTAAGACTACCGTGTTCAATGATAAAGCTCAAGAATATGGAGCGACAGCAAAAAAACAAAATTGGTATCTGGCATGCCACTTAAAAAAAGGCACAGTCCTGTTGAAAACTGGACTGGATCATTTGGTTAAAGTGATGCATTTTGGCGTGTTACAGTAGTTCACAAGGCTCTGCATGTGAGGCCTTCTAAGGATGCCACAGACGAATATGTCTTAGTAAATAAAGACAAAAACAATAAACAAAGCAACATCAGCTGATGGCTGCCATGAAGCACAGATCACATGTTCTACACAAAGAGCAGAAATACTGGAGATTTTCCAGAGAGCAGCCGCCGCTGCTACTGTAATATGTTTATAGTTATATCGCTGTGATTGATTACAATGTTATTGTGATACACTTTGATCATTAATAATGGTTTACCCCTTACTTACTTTTAACCTATGTCTGTTATTAAGTTTTAGATTTTGACTGGAAGTATTATAGTGCTTCTTGAGGATTTACCTTCCTCATATGAAATAATGGAAAATAAATGAGTCAGGAAATAAAGTTATAAAAATTCACTGCAGCCTTTGATCTTTTTCTGCATTCAGACTGAGAAGCTGAACAGCGAATCTAACTTTAGATTGAAATTGACATTTTGTAAAGTGACGTGAATAAAATTGTCCATCAAGTCAACATCAGCCAGTTTCAAGGTCCAAACGCTTGTGCAATGAATTCCAAAAACATTAATGTTAATGAAGTGGTTACCTATGTTTATATACTGATGTATTCCTTTAATATCAGTAATGTTTGTCTGAGATGAATGTGAACATAACTAGAAAAACAGCCTTTAGTTTGTTGTACCTTCTTACCTTCATACTGAAGTCCTCGTTGTTGTACAGATACATGCGAAAACCTGGGTTGTTGGAATACGGCTCTAAAAAATTTTTGATGGGCGTAACAGCCGGCGACACGAACAGAGAATTCACTGGTTCACCTGCAGAACAACCGCATGAAGTCAAGATTTTTTTTATCCAACACAACCAAACCATGTACTTATTAACCACTTAATATGTGTTTGGATGTTTATACACAAACTACAATTACAGTTTTAATAATAACAGAGGAGTTGAATATGAAAAAATAGGGTGATCTAATAGAAACAGAAAGATCATGGAGATCAGGAACTTTCTTTCACTCAAAGTAAAGCAAGATCTATTTAGAGAGAAAAACCTTTGCTTGATCCTCAGTGTCGTTACAACATGTTAATATGCGATTTACATAAAAGCTTATAGTCTTTTTGTTTGCCAGGATACTGTATATTACTTTGCATTTATTCTACAGTTTATAGGTACTTCGTACTAAAGTCTAAAAAAGAATGGTTATACGTTCTTTACAGTTTAAGTTTTTTTTGACACAATAGTTAGTACATTTAGTCTAGTTTAGAGCTGAAATCTAAC